GCCAACATACAAGAATGATTCAATATGAAAAAATAAATGTTTTAAAATTATTGTAATGATAATATATGATTATATATATAACTACTAAGATATGATTCTTAATAAAGTTTTGACTAAAAAATAAACCTGAAATGCGGATAGAAATCTATAACTACAAGAGTTATAATTACACATGTTATCAATTTTAATTATAATATAAATATTTACAACAATAATTTTTTTATATATTTTATCCATATATCATGCAGATCCTAATCTAATTAGGTATTTAAATATGTCGACATACCTAAATTGTTTTTTGAAGAAATGTTGACATGATCGATTGTTATATCATAAGTTCTTTTTTTTTTTTAATTGTTTTCGTAAATATCATTTGAGCGACCAACAAAAAAAAGTAATTTAAAAATCAATTCATCAACTAAAATCAATTTATGGATTTGGTTACGTGCATATTGCAGGGAGATGCATACAATGTCACAAGATGTTTCAATCTCCGATGCCTTGGTTTTGTACAAACAGTTGCAGAATCGCCACTGAAAGAGCCATCTTTCCCACGTTTAATTTCAGAGGAACTCGAGTCGATCTAACAATTTAGATCTAACAAAAAATTTTTTACTGTACATATGTTTTCTAATATATAGCCAAACACAAATGTACGTTCTACAAATCTGATTTTGCTGGTTGAGTGTTGGCCTTACCAATGGGGAATCCTCGGCAATGTTTGGTTTAGTTAATGTGAACTAGCTATGATATTTAATTTGGATCAATTTTCTAACAACGTGAACTAACTTGATTATGTATATAATTTTTTTTATATATTCTTTTGTAGTCTAATCTTCGTGAAATAGATTATGCAAAACTAACAGTGATTGCTTAAAACGGAAATCAATTATTTTATTAAAAAGGTGAAAATAGTTATGTCGTTGTGAGCAATTTGGAATGTATAATCATCTATATTTGTTTTAATGTCACAAGTTCCATTTTGTATCTATCATTTCTATTTTCACTTTATA